AACACAGCCTGCAGACTACTGCAGGTGGCAGTTCTCGCGAGGCTACTGACAGTTCAGTTTGGAGAGGCAGAGGATTTTTTTTTTTATGATATTATAATACGGGAGATTTACGGGAAAATACTAATACGGGAGGACGGCGGGAAAGAGGGGTAAAATACGGTAGTTTCCCGGCTAAAACGGGAGACTTGACAGCTATGATGTAGGCACGTAATATACATGAAATTTCTTCATGCATGTGGAACATGTTGTGAATGCTGAAGACAAATTTAGAAGGTAAACTGGACACTCAGTCAAGTTGAGTGGTGAAAAAGCATCCACAGCTGTTTCGATCACCATGGTCTGTTCCTTAAGTAATTATTAAAAAAACCAAACACAATCAACATGCTTCCAACTGTGATCAGATGCCCTCTGCTTAGTTGAATCTTGTAATTATCAGCATGATATCCATCACTGTTTGCATTCTATCCTGTAGCATCATCCCAGTGAGACAAGAACTTTCCACAGCACGCTGGGTAGGCAGACAGCTTGATGTCATTACTATGGACTATGTGTGCAAGATGAATGCAGTGTTCTGTATAGAGCCCCTGCACTACCTCCACCCCCACACACACTCCCATAAGATGTTGAGACATCAGTCTTTTGTAATAATCAATGAGGCTCTTTTCTTGAATACCTCTAAAATTAAATTCCCCATCAGTAGATGAGAAGCCCAGTGTCCAAGCTCTAATTAAAGCTCTCACAAAGTAACCGTCTATTCGCCCCTAGTACAAAATGAATTCCTAGATCAACTAAATGGACAGAAATGGGTCACCTTTATGAATATGTTGTTTGGTTTATATAGTGTAATATCAATACATGAACAGAGAGCATGAATATCACCAAGACTCAGATTGCAGCACTACGTTTAGTCTGGATACACCATCTTATGTGTGCTTCACTCATTACCATGGTGAATCCCAGTGTTGGCATGACAACTAGGTCCACATCTTCCCCAGAACATGGGCATTATACCAGAGTCATGGCAACAAGGAACATCTACATTATGCAGTCATTCATAAAAAGCCTTTTTCGTGGTTAGAAAAAAATACAGTGGTTATCCTTCAGTACATCAGGTGCTGCTTAAAGTCTGTGCACAGAGCATTCCTTCAGATTCAGGACATCTGTAGAGCAAACTGCAGCTGTTCCTACATAACAAGATAAAACATATTAAACATGAGAAGCTAAAGGCTTACAGGTGACATGACTTGAGGGGGCATGATGTAGTAGCACACTCTTATTTAATGTATTGATTAACCAGTAACTAAGTGTTAGTTATGTACTGATCCAATGTCCGTCAATCATCAATCATAACAGTTCATGTTTTTCATGTAGCTACTATATTTGTTCATGATTTGTAGTAGTAACTGAATTACTAAGTTATTTGTGCTCCCTCAAGTAAAGTGTTATCATTCAAGGAACAATTTTGAGAGGGGTGCAGAGATGTGGAGACATGCTGAATATGTGGAAGTCATGGCAACTTTTGAATATTTCATCATATTTAAGAAATCCAGAGTGCAATTTGTACTCAGAGAAATATTTTTAGAAGTTGCTGTAAAGAAGACGTGTTTTAAAAAGTGTGGTTAAGGGTTGGGATATCTTGTTTCTTTCTGTCTGGAAAATATAGTTGAAATTGGATCCCTGCTCAAAATTAAGCAATTGCATTTGTCTGGGGTAAATGGAGTGGTACTATGAAAATGGAGTGGCCCTGGCTGTGTCTTTCGATCTGGACCACTACTCATTGAGTTGTAGTCCATGGATGAGAGGAGAAAAAAGCAGAGAGGCCGCCCAGCAGCTCTCAGGTAAAATCAGGAGACCCCTCGCACCCCCTAACCAGATTCAGCCTCCCATGGGTAAAACGTAGGGGGTGCTGTCTTGCTGGATGGCGTTGAGGTGGTGCCCGGCCCGCTGGGAGGAGGCAAGGAGCTCCTGGAGCTGCTGCTGATCCCTTTGGGCACGTCGGGCATCGCGGCGGGCCAGCTGGAGGGAGCGTTTCACCTTGCGCACTCGCTCCTTCAACTGCCGATTCTTATCCTCCAGCTGAGCCAGGCGCTCCTGCAACTTCTTCACATGTTCCTCTTCCTCAAAGAGTGCCAGCTGCATGGAGGAGCATAGCAGCTGGAGGAGGAGACAGAGGCCAAAAGGTCATGTACATTTATACGTACTGTATATACCAACAATCATTTATATTCATACACACTATGTATACCAACAGTCATTTATATTTATATACTGTACTGTATATACCATCAGGCATTTGCATTTATACATACTGTATATACCAATAGCCATTTAATGTATATATTTTATACTGTATATGCCCACAGTCATTTGCATTTATATATACTGTGCATACCAGCAGTCATTTACATGTATAGATACTGTAAATACCAAGTCATTTACATTAATGTGTTTTATAACAGTGGTTTATATTTACATGTACATATGAATTACCATTTATATATATGTAACTATACAATATTGCATTTCTATATGAAATGTATATTAATAACTGTGACCCTGGATTGGATGAAGGGAAGATGTAGGAATGAATATATAAATACACTTATTATTGTTTGTTAATGAATTAATGTCACACACTTGAACCACTTGACATGAAGGCAAAGAACGATTTGGGTATGGGATGGAACTAATGAGAGAGATTATTAACAGACAGCCAGTGGAGTACTTTGAATAACATGGTGTTTTCATGGCTATAAATCCATCATGAAACAATGCTTGTTCTGGTTCATTTTCTCATTTTAGTGGCATTTGAAGCACTTAGCTTTCACTGCATAAAAATACCTTCACAACCTTCATACCTTGTGCATGTCACATGCATTAAGAGGAATGTGCAAAAATGTACGTTGGCTTAGTTGGTTAGTATTGTAGCCTCACATCTAGATGTAGGTTCTCCCTATATTTGCACAAATTTCCTCCAAGTACTCAGGTTACCTTCCTAAATGCATGCAGTCAGGTGACTTGCTGACTCTGAATTGCCTGTAGTGTGTTTGTTTAAGTATGTGCTGTGATGGACTGGCATCCTGTCCATGGTGCCCCCTGCCTTGTGCTCTGTGTTTACTGTACAGACTCACCATGACCCTGCAGTACCTAAGCATTTACGGATGATGGATGGATGTCTGACTTATACACACCATACTTAAGAAAGCATATTGTGGCAATAAAAGAATCACATATTTTTGATAATCTTTTCCATGATATGATTTCAATTATACTATTTATTACCTTTGTCCTATACGTCGCTAACCTTGTGCCCTAAAATAAGATCCAGGATCACTGTGACCATACTTTTGATAAGCACGTATTAAGAATGCATGAATGGATATTTAATATGTCCTCTTTGTTGTAAAGGTCACACTCCTGTATTCTCCTACAGATACTGTAAGGTGAAGGCATCTGAGCAGTGCATTGTGGGAACATTTGGATGGGTAGGATGTATATCCTCACTGCTACAGTTACTCAGTCAGAGTACACCTGCAGAGTTAAATGTGTGGAGATATATATATACACTCACCTAAAGGATTATTAGGAACACCATACTAATACGGTGTTTGACCCCCTTTCGCCTTCAGAACTGCCTTAATTCTATGTGGCATTGATTCAACAAGGTGCTGAAAGCATTCTTAAATGTTGGCCCATATTGATAGGATAGTATATTGTAGTTGATGGAGATTTGTGGGATGC